TTGGTGCTTCCCTAATTCGATGTTTTAATTAGATTAGATTAGTTGTCCGGTCGGGCAAGTAAAATTCTCTTTCACTTGCCCCTTCAAAAAATGCACACAGATCATCAAAAGCATTCTCTCGCGCACCCCTGCTGGTCGGTCTGTGCACCCCAGTTTGGGAACCGCTGATCTAGAGCTATTCAAAATCTCTGGTAGAAAGAGACATTCAGTTCAGTAAAGGCAGGACATGAAGCATCTGAGTTATCACTACGGTTTCTAGTTTAGAGCTTTGCAGGTAGTCATGTGCTTTTGTCTGATGTTGTTTACAGCAGGGAAACACATGCGCACCAAAGACAAAGAGAAGGAGCGAGAAGATGAGAGAAGAAAGAGACCATGGAGGGAGGACAGTAAATCTCGACAAGATTACGAGCGTGAGAAACGGAGGGATCAAGCCAGAGATCACTCCCGCCGAGAGAGGTCTCACACACACACACACCCTCGCACTCACTCACACACTCTCACACACACACTCTCACACACACACACTCACACACACACACTCTCTCACACACACACCCAGACCTGCCAACCTGTACGCATTTTGCGTAGCGGGTACGCATTTTGACCTTAAAGTATGCTGGTACGATTTGTCACTCTAAACTACGCAAAAACCTGGAGACCTGTCCACGCGCAGTAAACAAGCAATAGAAAAAGATGAGGAGTTCAACCAATCAGAGCGTTTTTTCTGGTTTTGCATTTAAATAATTTCCGTGTGTTTTATTTCTCTCCAAACTGGCTCTGTTTGTGTGTCCGTGAGTCGCGCTGAGATGAGGAAACACGTGCATGGTGCATCTGAAAAAGCAACATAAGCCGAGCATGACTTGTAATGCGGAGCGTTTCTAAACTTGTTGTCCAACAAAACATCAGACAAATGTTAGAAATAACTTCCGTCCTGATCTGATGTGGCTTCTTATCACAGAATGACGCAGAAATATATTCTATACTCATACTGTAATAAAGGCTATGTCGATTAGCAATGGACTATAAATATACTTATGAAAATACCCGAGGTCAAGTCAAGTTTATTTGTACAGCGCTTTTCACGATACAAATCATTGCAAAGCAACTTTACAGCAAATTAAGTTTCTACAATATTTAGTGGTAGCTTATCAGTGGTGACTGTCAATTAATGTACATATGGCAGAAATGTACCACCTCCATGCTTGACTGTAGGGATGGTGTTCTTGGGGTCATAGTCAGCATTTCTCTCCCTCCAAACACAGCAAGTCGAGTTGATGCCAAAGAGTTCAATTTTGTTCTCATGTGACAACAGCACTTTCTCCCAAGCCTTCTCTGAATCATTTAGATGTTCAGACGGGCCTGTACATGTGCCTTCTTGAGCTGGGGGACCTTGCGGGCACTGCATGATTTCAACTCATTGCAACGTAGTTTGTTACCAATGGTTTGCTTGGCGACTGTTGTCCCAACTGCCTTAAGATCATTAACAAGCTCCTCCTGTGTAGTTCGGGGCTGTTCCCTCACCTTTATCATGACCATCCTTTTCCTCATAAGGCGAGATCTTGCATGGAGCACCAGACAGAGGGCGATTGATGGTTATTTTGTATTTCTTCCATTTCCGAATATTCACACCAACAGTTGTCTCCTTCTCAAAAAGCTTCTTGCTGATGGTCTTGTAGCCCATTCCAGCCTTGTGCAGGTCTACAATCTTGTCTCTGACGTCCTTTGACAGCTCTTTGGTCTTGCCCATGGTGGTGGGAGAGGTTTGAATGGAAGATACACATTCTATGGACTGGTTTCTTTTATACTCATAACAAGATGACATTAGGAGTAATTTCTTAAAGTGACAGGACTAATCTGTGTTCCACTTGGGCACGTAACCAATCTGTGGGAGCCAGAATTCTTGCTGGTTGGTAGGGGATCAAATACTTATTTTACTTACTGAAATGCAAGTCAATTTATAACCTTTATATAATGTGTTTTTTCTGGATTTTTTGTTGATATTCTGTCTCTGTCCGTTAAAATAAACCTACCATAAAAATTATAGACCCTTAATTTTTTTGTAAGTGGTCAAACTTACAAAATCAGCAGGGGATCAAATAATTATTTTCCCCACTGTATACCGTATTGGCCCGAATATAAGACGACCCTGATTTTAAAGACGACCCCCCTTTTTCCAGATGTACCTTTTGGAAAAAGGCTTTTTAAAAACCAAATCTTGTTTTCTCTCAGTAAAACACATTTTGTCTTCAATTATTTTCATATTGCATATTTTTCCTATTTTTATTTTTGTTTTGAAAGTATGGTAAAAACTGGTAAAATGTACCAACAATCACATTTTAAAAATATACACTTTTTGATATACCATAAAAAAAAAAAAAAAAATAGCCCATCTGAATTAGGACATTTAGGCTATCCATCTAATAGTAGCCTACCAAAATCTTATTAACAGTAGAAGTAGAGTTGGTCCCATCAGGCTAACGTGACAGTCACGACTCATGCAGCTGTAAGCTTTTCTTTTTCTTTTGTTTTTACTCGCGATCTTTACAACACGCATTACATTCCACAGTCTATGATTACATTATGTATATCATGGCACACTCGTTTTATGCGTATTTGGCGCCACCTATTGTTGTGGGTGTATTATTGACATGTCAAAGTCTAGACCCTGAATATAAGACGACCGCGTTTTTTCAGATGTATTTCCAAGAAAAAAACATCGTCTTATATTCGGGACAATACGGTAAATATAAGAGGGTTGAGAATTTTAAAAAGAAAGTTTTATATATATATATATATATATAT